GAACCTGGACTGTAATCACATCCTTACACAGACTACTCAGTCTGTGTGTAAAGGCTTTACACATGGATTTGAAGATATTGTTGAAAGACACTAGGGACTATGGCACAAACTGTCAACCAGTGGCAGCAGAATGAGTGGTGAGGCTAAGAATTGGCAAACTCCACACTTCAGTGATCTGCCACGGCAGAAGTCCTTTTGAGTAGCTACTTCAGCCACATGACACCAAGCTTTCCAGCAGCACACATCTTTTCTGGTTTGGTCTCTTCAGGTAGGAAAAGCCAGTGGAGGAGACACACTGTGCATGTCCAAGGATGTCACACTGCCTGGAAGCCAGAAAAAGCTACAGGAGGCTTTGACACTGGGAGCAGCACCTGCAGGGTCCCTCAGTGGGGCCACCTGTCCCTGCAACCATCTTCATTACCTCTGCAAAGGAGCTTAGAACAGTTTTGTCTCACTACCTATTAGCACTTCTTTGTGTTTCTTGTAGGAAAATCCAATTCATTTCCTGGCCAGTGCAGGGCTATCTCTGGTAGGTATTTACACAGCAACAACCACAAACCACTTGTGCATAGGTATTTATAGAGCACCAATCGCAGGCAGTTGTACCTAATGACTGATATTAGCATCATGTGTCAAATACAAAAATCTTTCTCTGAAAACAGCAGGATCCAAACAACTCAGCTAATGAAACTGGCAATAAAGAACACATATGTGATACCACCTCGCCTATCCTATTTTTGACCACTAAAATAAATTATATGGATTTCAAGTACATGAAAATAACACAACAAGACTACCTGACTTGCCTGCATGTCAATGTCTTGCAGCAAGGCTTAAAACAGGGATTTTTTTTCCTCAAAAGCAAACCCTTGGCATAAATCAGCTTTTTGGTGACAAACTAAGAGAACAAACTCTTCCTTTCCTGACAGGAGTGCCTGACTTCACAGTATGGCGCTGCTGTCCATCCCCATGTAATGTCCACCTTTGGAGCACGAATTAATATCCAGTACCTGTGACATGAGAGAGTGTTAGACCTGTTCCACAATCAGGGACGTGGTGAAGCTCAGCAACCAGACTTATGTTGCATTAAAGTGATAATCCTTATGTTGCAAGGCAGGATTTGACAGACTGAAGGACAGACCTGCAGGACAGCATTGTCATCACAACAGTCCCTCCTCCTACCCCTGTGTGCCTTCCCTCTCCCTTCAGGAGATCCTCCACAACTGAATAAAATGAAGGTTATTTCAAATACTGGGTTACCCAGAGCTGATATTGCTCTCTTATGGATGCAGAGACAGGGGAGCAGATAAGAGGAAGCACTAGGAATGTACAGATGTAACGCACCCTTGCCAGAGAATAAAAAGACATACAAATTGTTGTGCTGGCACTGGCCAGTTGTCTGGCTTACTTGTATCAGCCTGTGGCATTGACCTGTACCAGGTTCTTTAGGGGAATATCAGAAACCCTACTGATGTTGACTCTAAAATTGCCCTCTCATCATGGAAAATTTTTCTGTCCATAAGATCTGAGTGGTTGGTCTCAAACTTCTGGTTCACCTGCCCTCTGTTTGTGTATGTCTCTGTTCCTCTCTAGTTTAAATGTAAACCTAATATATGAAGTGTAAAATTAAGAGAAACTTACCTAATGGATTGAATTCCTTTTTCTCACAAATTTAATACAGTGTAATCTGAGTCAGATTGTACATTTAGAAAATGTGCTTGTAACATATGATATAGATGCACTTTTATGCTTAGAGAGCATACAAAAAATAAATATTACAAGGAATCCTCCACTATGAGGAAAGGTGCATCTTTCAACCATAAGTATTTCTTTCACCTGACAGGGAAAACAGCACAACTACTGTCATGGATAGAAACTGCAATCAGTTTCAGACTGTTAAGATAATAATTTTGAAAAGAGGAATGCATGTTTGGATGTTACTTTAAAATCAAGCTCTGTGTTCAGGAAGAAAACAAAAGTTTTCAGATCTACATGGGTATATCTGTACAGTTCTGTATGTGACTATGAAATGTGCATACCTGGCTCAATGACCTTAAAGGTTCTTTCAAAGCTAAATGATTCTATGTTTCTATACACACAAATAGGTGCACATGCACACACACAAAAGCTGATGCATTCATTCAGGAAACAGGTTCCAAACAGGGAAGCAAAACCCTTCCTTCATTCTCATAAAGAGGGGTAAGGACAGATTCTGCAGTATCATTCCTGGTAGCAGGCAGAGGCACACAGAGTGATTGACTGATCAATTGATTTTGATTCCAGCAGTGATAGAGATTTTGTTATAATTGTATAAAATCATGAGTTGGGAGCATTATTGCTCTCCTTAGGTAAATATTTTCAACCCAAAGGTGATGCTTTATAAATTTTATCTGTCACTCCCTCTATCACCATCCCACCATTTTATATTTTTCAGTGGCAAAAAAAACCACAAACCAAAACAACAAAACCAGCAAGTTAATACTACTGCCATTTTGTTTTATCTTAAATGAAAAGGCTATCAGGTGACATGAGCAAAGGAGTCAAATGTGCATGCTTAAAAATGTATGCTATTTTATGATCACATTATGAGCACTTTAAAGTAAAAGGTGTGCCTTTTATATAAAAAATCTGTATGTAACAGATATACAATAATGTGACACTATTGGCTGCTGGAGTTCTTAGAAAGCAAAGCAGGGAAGAATTATATCTTTTTCTTTCATTTTATTAATGGTACATCCAGAGAGAACAACACTTTCATATCAGAAATTAGCCTTTGTGCCTTCTTTATGCCTAGAAACTTCTCAAACAAACTTTTGTTTCATTCTGCTTTGAAAGAAGAGCAGTTTTAAACAGAATCCACAGGTCTGATATATCAAAATCCTCAAAATCTTGTCCTATAACTCAGAGTTTCAAGCTTTTTTTATTAATCCTACCTTTCATAACTATTCATGTAAAATAAAGGTTGTAATTTTTCATTTGCTTGTCTCTATGAACTCGTTTCCAAAACACTTCTTTTATCCACAGTCATGCACTGGCCTCTTCTCCCTCTGTCCACATAATCTCCCTTCCCATCATCTCTGTTTCACCTTTTTGCCCTTACCACTATTCTCTTAGTACACAAGTGGCTCAGTCTCCTATCTGCTTTATCAAACTCCCTTTTTTCTTCCTTTCCTCCTTAATAGCACTTCTTTACCAAGTATTCATTACAGGCTGCACTTTTTTTTCCTCCTCCTGATTTCTACACATCCCTGAATGATTCTAACCCAGGCTACACTATATGAACGAACACATATGGTCTGAAAAGAAACCATATTCCATCATGCTCCTTACTTAATTTGTGAAAATTCAGAAGTTGTGGAAATACTAAAACACCAGAAAGTTTTTCAGAGGTCTCTCTGGCCAGTAGAGTATCACAAAAAGATTCAAACCCAGCAGAAATGCCAACCCTTTAAAGCTTTCACACATACTTAGGGCTTTCTCCTGTTTCTGCAGTGTGACATAATGGTTTACATTCAAAAGCCAACACACTTATCTTGAGATTTGATGATGTTCCTCAGTGGACTTCAGAATTTAAATGTTTCCATGCTTCCTTATCTAACACTTTATTCTTTCTCACATTCCAGTTATTCATATGGGTGTGCAGTCTGAGCAGACTAGCCAAAATCATTTATGGAAATGTATGCTGCCTAGTTTTCAAAAAGATTGTATTTCAGCTATCCTTATTTCAGATCACAGCACATGGGCTATCATTTAAAACTTGCAAATATTCAGACAAACAGGGACAACTCAGCTAGCTTTAGTAATAAAAGTTGTACCACTAGCACAAACTGCATTAATCTTACATGCAAACATGAAAACACATATAGGATTTTGCAAATTATAAAAACATTTTCAAAAGCCCTTGCATTTGAAAATATCAGATGTTCTTTCTAAAGGGAAGCTAGAGTGACACAGAGAGAAGCTGTTTCCTAATCAGGTGCTGCCTGTACCCAAGCAGGGTAATCTAATTTACAAGTAGGTGACCTATATAGTTGATTATTTATTCAACTAATCAAATTATATTGTGTCATTTGACGCTAGGATGTACACAGCGCTGACACGATGTTATTTTTTGTCACCAGATAAGGGGAATTGATTCTAATCTATATTACTTTTGTTAGTCATCAACTCTTACACCTACACCTGCCAAGGGAAGCATGAATACATTTTGTGAAGTTCAATAGCACACATATCATTAGGTCATAGCAAAGATATGCACTGTTGAACAAAAAAAAAAAAAAAAACAAACAAAAAACTCAAAAAAAAATCCCCACAAACAAACCATTGTCCATCACCATTTGATCAACTATTTCTATGTATCAGTAGTGTATCAGGCTGCAAGTACCCTTCTGCCTCTCTCCCACCAGTCACTACCGTGATCCACTTGGCCATTTCCACTTCTTGATTTTTGTCCTTCTGTCATCATCTGCTTTTAGGAAGAGACCACCTTGGGTTAGATTGCATCCTCTGAGAAACCTTGCCTCTTGCTATCCCCAAAAGCACTGAAATCTTAAGAAAATCTTCCATCCACCTGTGTGTACTTGTGGTGTATTTTATAATTCACCTCAGGCCAGATGTCATAACCTGGATGAAAGACTGTCTTTTTTCAAATTTTGATTGTCTGATTTCATTCTCCAGCAACATCTACTGCAAGGGTCAGTGAACAATTCTGATACAGCAGCTAGGGCTGGAGAGCTCATCAGGAGGGCTCTGTGCCTGCGTGCCCTAATGAAGAGAGGAAACTGAGGCCACAGCAGCTCTCCGTGTTTCTCCCATCCCTCCCTGCCCTGTGCTGTTGGTTTGGGGTTTTTTCAACGAGCCCGCAGATTTTTTCAGTGACCAGGAGGAGCAGAGAGGGGGTACTGAGGACTTGATGGGGAGGAGGAAAGTTTTTAAAATCCGTAATTATGAGCCGCTCGTGTGGCAAGCGGAGCCTCCTGTGTGCAGTGTCAGGGAGGGCGATGACCGCAGTTGTTGCCGCTGTCGCTCTCATGGTTGGGGGGCTCTGTCGCCGATCCCCGAGGAGGGAGCCGGGAGCGGCAGGAGCCTGGCCGCGACTCGCAGCGCTGCAGCCGCCCGCTGTCACGGCTGTCACGGCTGCCACCTCCGCCACCCTCCCTGGGCCACAGCGGTGCGTGGGAGCTCCCGGCGGGACAATCCCCGGGGAAAGCCCCGCGGCTGCCGGGGCTGCGGGAGAGGGCGCGGGCAGGCAGGACCAGCAATGTGCTCGCTCTGGAGAAGCTGGCGGCGGCGCAGCGGCTTCAGGGGTGCCCCCGGGTGCCACCGCAGAGCCGGCAGCCCCGGCGGGGCTGGGGCCGCTCCGCCGCCCCGTGTCCGCGCCAGGCCAGCCATGTCCGCGCAGCTCCGGCAGCGCTCAGCGGGGGCCGGGCACGGCCCGAGCTGGCACGGCCCAGCCCAGCCCGGCCCGTTTCGGCCCTGCCCAGCGCAGCTGCCCCGGCTCGGCCCGGGTACCCCTGGCAGGGCAGGTCCGGCCCCGCTCGTCCCTCAGGGCCGCCCCTCCTGCCGGGATGTGCCCGGCGCTGCCCCCCCGCCCCGCTCCCCACAAAGGGCGCTGGTGGCGAGGAAAGCGCGTTCTCCCCGAGCTTAGCTCCCTTTGGGCGCTGCACGGAGTGAATGCAACTTCAGCCGCCGCTGCCGCTTCCATCGCTGCCCTTCCTTCCTTCCCTCCCCCCGCCTCCCCTTCTCGCCTGAAAAGAGCAAACTTGCGCTGAAATGGCACCGCAGCCCGTGCGCCAGCCTAACCAGCCCATTAAATATGATCAACGTACCGCTTGCATGGATTGAAACCTTTCCCAGTGCTGATTGCTCCAAAGGGGAATCACGTCCTACCTCCCACCTTCCCAATCTTCATTCTCCCAGTGTACACACGCTTGTAATTACTGGTGATTGTGCTAATGCAACCCTGAGCAAAAGCATGCTGGTACTATGGAGAGGGAAGGCGAAGAAAGCACCGTTAATTTAGGGCAATGTGCGTGTGGATTATGGGTTTTTTTCTTGTCTACACCATCCTATAGATGCTCTTTAAGCATCAACCCAAACATCAGCGGCTCGTTTCCTAGGGTCTTTTTTTTTTCCCCCTCCCGTGGGACATTTTTTTCCCCTTTACAGGATGACAAGGTAATTTGAAAAGAAATGATGGATCGCTTCGTGGACCAGCAAAAGGAGAGAAAGTGAGAAGACGACTTGTTAGTCCTGACTCTAGCCAAGGAGAAAGCTGCCTGACCCCACTTCTGCTGTGATTGCTGCTTACATAACTCTCTGTATTCACCGCAGACCGCTTCGCTCGGGGGCGGAGGGGGCACCCCAGTATAATATCACCCGGGCCTTCTCCGCACTTGAATCCCCTCCTTCAGCAGAGCGGGGCTTCGAAGCGTGATCATTAACTTCAGTGATCATCCCTTGGTTTCTTTTGAAGGCGGCCGAACGATCTTTTTCTTAAGCTAAGGGGTTTTTTTTAATTATTATTTGTTCAGATGACATTCCCTGTTCCGCCCCCGCCCCCGCGGCGTGTGCACACACACACACACACACACACTCCCCTTTTCATCATCAGCAAATAAAGATTAGGTGGGCAGATTATAGAAAGCGTTTTCAGTCCTGTGCTGATCTTTATTCCAGAGCCTTTGTGATGATATTGATGATGATGATGGTCAAGTGGACAGTTTGATTTTTGTGTTTGGAGCTAGTTATAAAGAATCAATATTATATCAAGGGGTAACTTTCGTGATAAAGGACTTTAACCACTCTGGCTATTCATCATAAGTCTGTAGCAAGCAGATAGGTCAAAAGAAATTATATTGCACTAAAGAGTGTGTCTTCTTATCTCTCCTATACCAGGGGAATAAGGGACAAGCCGATCGATACAGTAGCTGCTGTATACTTCTTGCAATTATCAATAGCTGATTTCGTCTTTTGAGGCCTGCATCTATTAATACAAACTAATAATAATCTTCTGAGCATATCTGTAACCAAGGCAATGAAAGTTTTTGTACCTGCCGACACTATTTATATAGCTAGAATTAGTAGACAATGTAACATTGTTTATTTGTGTGTGTGCCTGCAGAGTATATAGAGAGAGAGAGAGAGAGAGAGAGATGTATTCATCTCACTTGTATTTTTCAGAAGCATGCAGATTTTTGCAAAGGGGCTAAACCCACTAATTTTACATGCATGCTGCATTCCTACATGCACTTCCTGGAGTATGCACTGACAGAGGTTTTGCAGTACTAATATATATAGCTTAATATATATAGCAGCTTAATATATATAGCGCCTATGCATCTATAGGTGTGAATGACATATATGTATGAGCTTTAATGTGTATTGTCTTTGTAATGTCCCCCCAACGATGTGTATTACAAATGTTCCACAAAGTATTTTAAATTCTTTGTTAAATTATCAGCTGTTAGGTTAAGGAACGGAAGTGGGTGGTAATTGGAGTTTGCTACGTGTGAACATAAGCTTTTGTGTATATGAATCAATGTTTATTTAGACCCAAGGGTGTATTAAAGACCCAAGTATTAAATAAAAGGAAAAGTAACTTAAATGTTTAAGGCAAAACGTTTAGCAAAGATTTGCTGTAAACTGGTTCTATGAATCTTGTTGTGGGGCTAGCTGCTTTCCACAAAAAAAAAAAAAAAAAAATTGTAATAGAAAAAAAACATCTTTATAATTGACATTTGACATGCTGTTTGGGTTAGGCTGTGGTAGACCAAGCACAGATTTCCCTCTGATGGAAACATTTATCATCATGATTGCTGCAGAGTGGCAGGTGGTGTTATCAATTACCTCTTCTTACCAATAATAATATTAGTATGGTAATATCTTTGCTCACGTGAGAACGAATTACTGGTCAGTTGTTGCAGCTTTAAACAGAAAAAATTCTTCCTGGATTTAACCCCAGGGTCCTCAAACAAAAGTCGTGGTGCGGAAAGGGGATGGGAAGACGATACTTCAGCCTGCCAGGAAGAGTAGGAGATGACAGAAAATAAAGCACAAATAATTGCATGCCCCTTCGAATAAAGTTGCTGAGCAAAATAATAACTTTAAAAGACTGTAGATGGATTGCACAAAATGTCAGATCCATCTTATCCGCACGTTTGTGACTTTGACGGTTTTAAGAACAGCAACATCGTATAAAGCATAAGTGTAGACAGAACTACTTATATGCTCTTTGTAGAGTCAATCTTGTAGATAAGCTTTCTGATGGTTTTTATGAACTCCGAATAAAGATAAAAATTAAAGCAAAAGTATAACTAGGCGTCGCGTTAATGTGAAAAATAAAGTACTGTCAGGTAGATGACATTATTAAGCAGGCAGAATAATAACGTGCCGCTCCTGACAATGAAAGCACCATCGCAAAAGAAGACAATTAACAAATTAGATTTAATTACGGAGGGGAAAAAACCCACTTTTGTGTCCCATCACTAGCAAAGTATTTCGGCGGACCCACAAGTCGCGGCGAGGGAGAAGCGAGCGGGCGCTGTTTGAGTGGGAACACGCGTGACTGCCGGCCCCGCAGCCGCGCTCCGCGCTCCTTCCTGTGTGGGTGCGCAGAGATTTACGCGACTCAGAGATCCCATCCCCTTCCCTCCCGCCCCGCCAGCTGTAGTGGCCGCGGTTTTTCGCAGCCCAACTTCAGGGAACGCATCATCACTTTTTTTTTTTTTTTTTCCGCCCTCGACTCCAGAAGATTAATTAAAAGGTCCGTGGAAAACTTTGCGGTGTAATGGGGAGCGAGGGAGGAGGAAAGGACCGCAGGAGACGCGATTACTCCATAACTTTCCGCTCGCCTCCCGAGCCCGCTACACCGGCGGGGTTTTCCGCTCAGGTGGCGTAGCAAGATGTCCCCGGCGGTGCGCGCCGGGTGCCTGCGCTGCCGGGCCCCAGCCCTGCTCCGGCGGGCACCGCGCCCGCCCCGCTCCGCTCCGCGCCGCGCCCCGCACCCGCACCCGGCGCAGCAACCCCGCGCTGCGCGGCCGGCTCGCTCTCCCCGAGAAAACACGGGAAGGCGAGCGGCATAAGGGAAAAGAAAACCATAAAATGTATCACTTGTAACCCTAGAATATGTTAATGTCAAGAGATACAAATCTGGTAATTATGCCTTTCTTGCCTGTTGTGTTCTCCATTGTTCATTAAACATTAAAGATGGGATTATTTAATTTTCCACTTAAAGATTCTCTCACGTTCCGCAAAATCATATTAATTTTCAATCATTTTAATTTTATATAGGACGAAGTTTTGTGTTTATAACGCTGCCAAGGAGCTGCCTTCCCCCCCACACCCCCCCCCCCTTCACATCGCACTTTTAAACGTTCTTCTGGAAATCGTCTGCTGCTGAGGGAACTACCAGGCTCCGAGCAGTAGAAAACGCCAAAGTTTTGGGGGATGGGTGATGAGGGGGGGGTGGGGAATGTTGCCTCACCAACAGCAACAAATCTTTTCAAAAGATGACTGGATGAAAACTGACACATTTCAGGTACTACAGCAATTGTGGGGGGAAATGTCTGGGCGAGGGGAAAGTGAGTCCTCACTCATTCCGGGCAAATATCTCAGCCAAAGAGAGCACTAGCTAAGCCTCCTCACCTAAAAAAGTCGGGGAGAATGTCCCTCTCTGTTTTTGAAGAAGAAGTCCCATCTCCAACTCCCTACTCACAGCTGCGGTGCTGCGGGTTACTTGAACGCCCGCAGATGCTCGTTTTCACCTGCACTCTGCCTACAGCCTAACGCAGCGCATACGCACACACGCACTATGTGTTATTCGGGTGAGTCGGGTGCAGTAAATCCCTGCTTCTGTCGGAAAAAATCCATGCTCAATTAATGGGCTCGTAGCCTCCTACTTCATATTAGAAAATTGCATCATATTTCAACCATCACCATTGTCTCCAGGTGTTTTAAACGAAACACTCTTAGTGCGACAAAACTTTCAGCAAGGAAGGATGCACGGGAAGAAGGTGCACTAGAATTTATAGGCAGTAAACAAGTTTTTTAGTTGTGAAGCGGGAAATCATGGCAAGGAGTGTCGTGTGCACATCTCCCCAAACGATAGACAGAAAAGTACAGTCGTCTAATACCAAAAAGCATTGATTTGGCGTTTCAGTGTTCGTTCCCTCGGGGGTCGTGCCCGTTTCTAACGAATACCTGCCCCACAGAAGTCGCGGATGTTGTGCGTGCCAGCAAACTATCCGGAGTGGCCTAAATGGTCGCCTCTAACTTTATTTGGTTTGCCTACCAACATAAAAGCGGGGAATAAACCGAAAGCCCAGAGACAGGGTATCAGAGCTCACGAGATAAAGGGAGCTATCAGCAGGGAAAGTTTACACAGAGAAGGCTCCCAAAGAAGCCGGGGTTAGTGTGTTTTAAGGACTAGGGCTGGATTACACGGGCTGGGGTGGGGGTATTAGGAGGAAATCCCTTTCACTGATCCTCGGCCCCATGCGCGGAGCTGCCCGCCTCCCTCCAGGGCCGGCAAGGTGGGCTGCGCCTCCGCGCCCCGGCAAGGGCCGGCGCCGGGGCCGCTCCGCCGAGCGCGGCACCGGGCGGGGGTCGGAGGGTCGGAGGGGCCGGGTCGCGACAAATATATTAGAAAAAAAAAAAAAAAAAAGAAAAGAAAGAAAGAAGGAAAGAAAGAAAAAATATTAAAAACGGAAAGCAAAACAAGACGGTGGAGGTGACCGCAGGAGCCGCTGAAGGACCCCCCCGCCCCGAAAGC